CCCACCTAACAGCTTGGGTGCAATCTTTACCAGTGCATTGACGAGAGGGAGATTGGCCAGTACCTGCCTCCCTCAATCCCCCCCCTTCCCCTTCCACTCCCACTACCTCAATTTGCCGTCGCCAAGTGCACCTAAGGGGGTTCCTCTTACCGATGTTACCTGTAGGTGTTCCTGAAAGTCCGGATCAGCCCCAGGTGTGATCAGCATCGACCTCGATCCTGACAACTACAGACAAGCCTTTTCATTTCTTTTCGTTTGATTCACTGATCTTTTGCGACCTGCCGCGCACGACAAATTGCCGGATATCCCCCGGCTCGTCGTCGAGGTGCCTTACGCTACCTACCCAGGTACCCAAGGTACCTACCTAGGTACTAGAGGCTAGCCCCATATCTTACCACGAGTCCCCTGCTGTTCCACAGGGCCACCCAGCTCTCAGCTCTCCCAAAGGTACCTACATAGCCAGCAGACAGAGAGAGAGCACCGGGGGTCTAGTTGGCTCCGTGTTGTCGCACACCTCACGTTGGCCCCGCAAACAACTGCGACTCCAACTCCCAGCATTCTCCCCGACAACACCACTTCCGCAGCTCAAGCCCAACTCGAGGTCGAATCAGGCCAAAAATACACCAAGGGTCTCCCCCCTTTCGCCTGCCCTCGCATCCCACCTCACCTCGACATAATTGTGCATTAGGCCTTCCTTGAGTGCCTTCGCCTCCCAAGCCGAATGGGTGTGCTTCTCTCTGGCGCCCCTCATCGAACACCCGCCTCTGGCTTGGCCTGTGCCCTGCAGCACCACCCATCATCATCCTAACCACGTCAAACTCCCCGACACTGCGGTCGCACGTTCGCGAGGCGAATTCCATCCCCTCCCCACCGAACATTCAAACGCCTTCCCCCCTCAACCCGGGAGCAAGGTGTCTCCCATTGACTCCTGCCGATATTCTGCTCCTTCCTTCACAAAGGTGTCCATCGAATCAGAAGGCGGTGTCATCGTCACGACAGGCCTGAACACTTACCCTCTCCGTGTCGCGATACACCTGTCGGCCACCATCCAACACGACCTCGCGCGACCGCAATCATCGCCCAACAAGCTCTGGCTACCTCCTGTGCCTTTGTTGCACCCGCCAGCCTTGCCTGTATATCTACCTTACCGTTGCCCCTCAGCTGCTCCCGCACCGGTGCCTGACGCAACCAATCACCCCTCGCCAACCCCCGTTATCAGCGTTCGTCACCATCAAAGACCGTACTGAGGTGTTCTATGAACAATATGAATCGCTTCAGCCAGCGCGTTAAGGTATGCTCCTCACTCCACCTCCATACGAACTGCCCACTGATCTTGTTGACGAACTCGGTACAGGCCCAGTTGTCGCGCGGGAAGGACCCCAACAAGCCTAAGAAGAGCAAGGACGCCAAGGATGGTGCCGCCTCACCTTCGTCCGTGGGCTCGGGTCGCGACGCAAATCAGTCCCCTGTGCTGACGCCTTCTTCTTCGACTTCGACCCTCAACGACATTCGCAACAAGCCCCTGCCCAGCGGCACCGCAACCGACCACGGCGCACCGAACCAGCCGTCGCCTCTGAGCAACCAACAAACCGCGGGCCAGGATCGTTTCGGTGGCACCTCACAAGCTTCCAATGGCAACGGTACCCCTTCCCGACTCGGGGCTCTACCTCCGTCCGTCGTCATCAGCCCAAGCGCTCCAGTAAGATACCTCCCCCCTCTCACTATCAGTCCATGCCCGTGAACCTAGGCGTGCATCTTGGTCCGCTGCTGACGACAACTCCACTGTAGCACGTCCCCCCTCCTGGCGCTGCAGAGACTATGCCACACGACTTGGCACCCCCCAAGGCGGGCACCAAGTCGCTGATGTTCGACCGCCTTCATCAAACACCGAAAGACGTGCCCGAGGGCATGCGGACGCCAAAACGCCAGCACTCTTCGCGATTCGATATCTCAGCGGACCGCGAGCTCGAGAAACTGCCGGGCTTTCACGAAGTGCCTCCCAATCGGCGCCAGGACCTGTTCATGCAGAAAATTGATCAATGCAATGTCATCTTTGACTTTAACGATGCCAGCGGCGACATGAAGTCGAAGGAGATCAAGCGACTGGCACTGCACGAGCTGCTCGACTACGTGGCCAACAACCGTCAGGTTATTACAGAACCCATGTATCCGAGGGTCGTCGAAATGTTCAACAAGAACTTGTTCCGTCCCATCCCGCCCCCCATGAACCCCCAAGGCGAGGCTTTCGATCCGGAAGAGGATGAGCCCGTGCTGGAGGTAGCGTGGCCTCATATTCAGGTCGTGTACGAGTTCTTCCTTCGCTTCATCGAAAGCCAGGACTTCAACACGAACATTGCCAAAGCCTACATCGACCATAGCTTTGTCCTGCAGCTACTGGAACTGTTCGACTCCGAGGACCCTCGTGAAAGAGACTTCCTGAAGACCACTCTTCATCGCATTTACGGCAAATTCCTGAACTTGCGATCTTTTATCAGGCGCTCCATCAACAACGTCTTTTTCCAGTTCACTTATGAGACAGAGAGGTTCAACGGTATCGCGGAGCTTCTTGAAATCCTGGGCTCGATCATCAACGGATTTGCTTTGCCGTTGAAGGAGGAACACAAGACCTTCCTCACGCGAGTTCTGATCCCCCTGCACAAGGTCAAGAGCTTGAGCATGTACCACCCTCAACTAGCTTACTGCATTGTGCAGTTCTTGGAGAAAGACGCATCTCTCACAGAAGAGGTAAGTTCGTGTCGGCGCGTCAGCCACCGTATCGGAAGGAAAGAACAGCGCTAACTGCTGCAGGTTGTTCTCGGTTTGCTCCGATACTGGCCCAAGACCAACAGCACCAAAGAGGTTATGTTCCTCAATGAGGTGGAGGATATCTTTGAAGTCATGGACCCTGCCGAATTCGCCAAGGTTCAGGAGCCCCTATTCCACCAGCTTGCGAAATCAGTTGCGAGTCCGCACTTCCAAGTCGCCGAGCGCGCTTTATACTTCTGGAACAACGAGTACTTTTGCAACCTTGTCAGCGACAATGTGGAGATCATCCTCCCCATCATGTTTGCACCCCTATACGAGAATTCCAAGGGTCACTGGAACAGGTGTGTCCCTCATTTGTTATCCCTTAACGGCTTGAGCTGACAGCCTTTTCCCAGGACAATTCACGGTATGGTGTACAACGCTATGAAGCTTTTCATGGAGATCAACCCCCAGCTCTTTGACGACTGCTCCCACGACTACACTGAGCAACAAAACACTGCTGTTGCACGCGAGACCGAGAGGAAGCAAAAGTGGGACTCAATTGCCAGCCTTGCGAGCCAGAGGAAATCCACAAATGGCACCGCTGGCCCCCGAGAGCACACCCCGTCTCCAACAGCAATGTCTCAGTTAGCTTTGTGAGCGGTACATTCATTGCAGAACTCCCGGGCAGAGACTTTGGCCCGGACAACGATGGATGTCAAAAAAGGAAGGGATCCATGGGGCCACACAGTAGACCGTAGACATGGAATAGGAGCATGTCAAGTATACGTTCCGCTGGCACGATGCCCAGCTTTCGGTATCTGAAAGTTACAGGATGGGTGGTTAGGCCAAGTGTGCAGAACAAGAATAACGTCGCTCGGTTTGGGCTTCAGAATTATTAGCGCTGAGACTGCATTTCATTTTAAACAACTGTCTGAACTGCTCGAAGGCTGTGACACGAATTCTTGACAAGCGCTACCTCCACCGTCCTCTGCCCCTGTCGTGGCTGCTGCGGCTGCTGTAGCCCCCCCTCCCGTACGACTGCTGCGGCTGACTATACTGGTGCAGCGGTGGCGGCGGCGGCGGTGGCGGTTGTTGCTGGTGCTGCTGCCAATTGGCCCCTGGACCCCCTGGAGGTGGTGGTACGGGGGGAAACCAGTTCGGCGGCGGTCCGCCCATGCCCAGGTGAGGCGGAGGCGGAGGCGGTGGTGGCCAAGACCCTTGGAGCCCAAAGTGTGCAAACTCCCCACCGCCAGGGCCGGGCGGCGGAGGTGGGAAGGGCAATGGTGGCGCCAAGGACGGCGGAGGGGGTGGCGGGCGTCCGCGTTGTGCGTTGGCTGTCGAGTCGTAGTGAGCGTGGTCGTCACGGTCCCGGCTACGACCCAGACCGAGATCGTGATCTCGCGATGTAGAGGATGGTGAAATGTACCGCCGAGGGGGTGTTCGAGATCTCGATCTACTGTAAGACTGAGGCCGGAATCGTCCTCTTGGCTCGGGGCTACGTCGTGCGGTGTCACGGTTCCGGCCACGACTGCGACTTCGGCTGCGGCTCGGGCTCGGGCTTTCGCGGGACAATCTTCGTCGCTTGAAGGCTGGCGGTGAGTTGGTGCGACTCCTTGATCTGTCTCGAGACGGGCTCCTCGAGCGACTGGACGCCTGCGAGCGCTCGCGGCCACGGCTCATGGGACCCAGCTTGGCGGTTTTCTTTCGCTGCTTCATCTTTTCGCAGAACCCCCGCGACCAGCCGTAGTATGTTGTGCCGCCAATGATGTCCCCCGTGATCTCATCGATGATGACGTGCTCCCCCATCTCGTTCCGGTCCACCAGCGAGTCTTCGTCGCCCGTCGCTTCCTTGCTGTAGATGCTCTCCACATCTTGGAGAAGATTCTTGACGGCCTGTGCGAGGGCCTTGTCGGCGGGACCGGATGCTAGCTGAAGAGGCTTGATCATGTCGGGGTGCATGGGCTTCGTCGAATTGGGCGTCAGGTGAGGGAGCCAATTGGCCGCGGGCAGGTCATACCACGACAGCCGAGGGTCGCCGTGCATCGAGGGCAAAAGGTATGGAACCTCCCTCCCAGATCTTGCACCGCTGGCCTGGCCAGAGCTGGCTTTTGCGTCGTCGTTCGTCGTCTGAGCGGCCGTGAGGCTCTGCGGACCTGCTCGCAGGATGTCCCTCAGGTCCTGAATCAGACCAGGTGAGAAGTAACGCTCTTCATCCCAGAGTGACAACAGGCTACCGAGCTTGCTCATATGCTTTGGACTGTTCTGGAAGCTCGCTGCTTGGCGGAACAGGCTGGGCAAGCTGCCCTCGATCTCCTTTGCAAAACCAGCATTGTGCTGCCGGCTACTTGTATGGTAGATGGCGTCATTCAAGACATAGAGGATATGCAGCTGCCTGCGCTTCGCAGATGGTCTCCTGACGCCGACGGCACCATCACCGGTCAGGGAGCTCGACAAGGCTACCAGATATTTGCCTAGGGCTGCGACGCGTGCCGGCGATGCGCATAGGTGGTCAAGGATCCAGCGCTTGCATTTCTAGAAGCGTGGGGGTTTAGTCTGGAAGCTGGCGACGGGAGAAGCGCGTATCGGCACGAAAAGGGGCCGAATGAGCGGACAGGGCAAGTCAAACCTGAACGTTGGCAGGGGAGCATTTCGAGATGGCATCAGAGAGCAGGGTGTGGAACGACTCGATTTGGGGGCGGGTCAGAGGCGTCGGCTCTTTGCGGAAAAGGACAGCGCTGAAGTTGACCTTCGCGATGGCCAGTTGAGGGGTCGTCATCGTCAAGGAACTTGCATGTCGACCGTATCGTGGTTCTGGGCAATCGCGTCTGTGTCGTCGTGCGGCGCGGCTGCTTGTTGGAATTGCTAGCCTGAAGTCTGGTGAGGCGCATACACACAGTCGGAGGAGATCCGCGAGTGGAGCCTTGAACCCACAAAAGAGCAGATGCACGTGATACTGATCGCACGAATTACCATTCGGGCGTCTGACGTACCTTACATGTACATGCGTCACACAGCTCCGGCCATCGGAATGAGAAGAACTTCCCCAGACGCCCCACTAGCAGCTTGGCTTGCTTGCTATTTCCTACCTATCCAAACCTTTTCCTCCAAATCGAATCCACGTTATTTTGAATGACTCTCTAGTGGCGATTACGCAGCTGAATCTCACCCTGACATCTACTGAACATTTCCTGCCGACCGACTCATCAATTGATTGATTGACCTGGACAACATCTACAATCATGTGCCCGACTCCCGATCAAGCTCCGGCCGCGAACGGCCATGCCAACGGCGCGAATGGCTCGAACGGCTCCGCCAACTGCATGTCATACTCTGCCCACCTATGGCATTCTCACTCACCGGAGAGGATGAACGTTTGCTAACATGTACCACAGCCCACCCTGGATTCACGGCCATTCCTGTAAGTGTTACCCTCCAGTGACACAGGCGAAAGCCTTACGTCAATGTTCATGGGGTCAGAGCTCTAATCGCCTCGTCCGCAGACCAAGCAAACGCACTCCAGCCCCTACCAGCCTGTAGGCGACTTCCTCAGCAATGTTTCTAGGTTCAAGATCAGTGAGTCTACCGGCGCAACAAGAACAAGATTGACAGGCCAAGAATCGTCCTCGAGAAACACGCTTCTAACAACATGTGCTCCCGGCAGTCGAGTCCACCCTGCGCGAGGGCGAGCAGTTCGCCAACGCCTTCTTCGACACAGAGACCAAGATCAAGATTGCCAAGGCCCTCGACGACTTTGGAGTCGACTACATCGAGTTGACATCCCCCGCGTCCAGTGAGCAGTCGCGTAAGGACTGCGAGACGATCTGCAAGCTCGGCCTCAAGGCTAAGATCCTCACTCACGTTCGCTGCCACATGGATGATGCCCGTCTGGCCGTTGAGACTGGTGTTGATGGCCTTGACGTCGTTATCGGAACATCTTCATATCTTCGGGAGCACTCGCACGGCAAGGACATGACGTACATCATCAACGTGAGTTATCCAAGTTCGATCGGGTGTCTTAATGCAGCCGAAGCGTTCACCTAGTCAATGACATGACGCTGACAACCTCACAGACGGCCATTGAGGTCATTGAGTTCGTCAAATCGAAGGGCCTTGAGGTTCGCTTTTCCAGCGAAGACTCCTTCCGCTCCAACCTCGTCGACCTTCTCTCCGTGTACAGCGCCGTCGACAAGGTTGGCGTCACGCGTGTCGGTATCGCAGACACAGTGTCAGTGGAATCCTGTTCTTTGGTGCCGAGTGTTTGCTGACCTTCTCTTAGTGGCTGCGCATCCCCCAGACAGGTCTATGACCTGGTCAGGAGTAAGTTGCGGAGCAGCACATCCCTCAACTTGGAGAAAACTGTCTGACAACGTTCCCTATAGCTCTTCGTGGCGTTGTCAAGTGCGACATTGAGACCCATTTCCACGATGACACTGGCTGTGCCGTTGCCAACGCCTACTGCGCTCTCGAGGCCGGTGCTACACACGGTGAGTTTCATCACAAAACATGGTTCTCTCTGGAAACGATGCTAATCAGATTACCCATCAGTTGATACTTCCGTTCTTGGTATGTCCATGCCTGCCATGGCAAAGGCTCTGCAGTGTCTTAGTGGCTCATGCACAAGGTCTTAAGAAACATGACACTGACGTTGTTGTCTAGGAATCGGTGAGCGCAACGGTATCACCACTCTCGGTGGTCTGATGGCGGTACGTGCTGAGATATCCCGATACCTTGAACTGTATGCTGACATCTTTTAAAGAGGATGGTTGTCGCCGATCGCGAATATGTTACCAGCAAGTAAGTTGGATGCTTAGTCCGTCCTGCGTCACCCTGTGGCTAATGACTACACAGGTACAAACTCCACAAGCTCAAGGATCTTGAGAACCTCGTGGCCGACGCTGGTATGTCTTTTCCCCTGCCCACATTACCATTGTATTGCGATTGGTATAAGGCAAGGTTGTTTAAGCTTTCAACCCTAACACCTGAGGTTCATTGGACGTTGCCTTGAAACCCGATCGCAGTTTGCGAACCGTGAGCAAATCATGAAGCCAAGGCTGACTTGAACAGTCCAAATTAACATCTCGTTCAACAACCCCATCACCGGATTCGTACGTTCTCCCCCAAACCTAAAGTTCCTCCATTAGTTGAGTCTAACACAAGCGTCAGTGTGCGTTCACCCACAAGGCCGGTATTCTCGCTAAGGCTATCCTGAACAACCCCAGCACCTACGAGGTCCTGAACCCTTCCGATTTCGGCCTGTTTCGCTGTAAGTTGACTGCTATTCCGACCGGGGCTTTGCTGACCGTGCATCCCAGAACTCCCACTTCGCGTCTAGGTTGACTTGGGCTGGGAAACGCTATCAAGAGCCGTGTCCGAGGAAGCTTTGGTGTGGACCATCGTGTCGATGCACAGGTCAAGGAGTGTACCAAGAAGTCAAAGCCATGGCCGACGTGAGGCGCTCGCTATTGACGACGCTGACTCCGTCATCCGTACCTTCCACCTGAACTTGACCTCGGAAGAGGAGAAGCCTCTGCTTCCCCGATCTGACCTCTGAAGAGCATGCCAAGTTTGTGCAGGCCGAAAAGGAGATCGCCGCTGAGCCTGAGAAGAGATCACTGGATACCACTGAGGAAACGAATGGCAGCGCTGCCAAGAAGGTCAAGGTCTAAATACGCTGGGGATGTACAACAGGCGCCTAAAAGGGGTGGACAGCTCCCACAAGTTTGAAATCATGTACGTTTGTCACAGATACGAAGGGAAGAGTTGCAAAAAGTTTACAGTCAGCTTGCTCAAGATCTCAAGGTGTGGTAGCCCTTGGAAGCGTGGTCCCTTCATGATTGATTGTATGAGTATTTGAGTCGCTGCCAATGCGTGACGGAGGGAGCTGGCGAGGGGTGGAATTTAGGGCATGTTGACAATGGTTCTGTTGGCCTGCGTGAGATCTGAGTCGAAGAGTGTCCGGCATGGTAAAGAGTGTCTTTGGTGTAACTGATCAACGGGAGCTAGCTGCTTAATCTCACATTGCTGCCGACCAACCCCCTGCACACGGTTACATGGCTACCTGCAACGTTGACGTTGTGCACACCGCATCGTCAGCGACGACCGCTGCATGCGCTACCATTGGGCAGTTGGTGAGATAAGACCAAGGCGTGCTTGGCAACTCGAGACTACATCCACTCACAGAAGGGAAGAAGGATAATGAAATGTAGAGGGGAGGCTTGGGTCGTTAATTCGTAGCGCCACTATCAGCTCGCCGTTTCTAAAGAGAACGTAGCAAATCCGCATTAATAATTGTACAATCGTCCCGGGCACCGTATTCGTCCCAGGGCAGCAGGGCACTCTAAACACGACGTGTCTTCCACCCGTGTGTGTTTGTCGGCAATCAGGAAAATCTGTCTCCCTTCGGACTCCTGAATGGCGCGGCGCTCTCATACTTGCTCTTCTCGAAGATTCGTTGTTCCTCTGTCGTAGGCGCATGGCGCGTCGGCGCAGGGTCGGCGCCAGCCTCCTGGCTGGGAGAGCCAGCCGTGTCGGTGCGGGCAGGGCTGGCGGCCGGGGTGCCGCCCATTGTCGCGGACGAGAGGGGCCTGCTGGGGACGTTCTCGGAGTATTCCATCGACTCGATCATCTGCTTCTTCCTGCGCTGGTCCTCAAGCCTGGTCATCCGATCGGCGTTGATGCTCTTCTTCGCGAAGTAGTATGCGCCTCCACCAGCTGTCGTCATTGTGTCAGCAGTCTGTGTGTCCTAGGATCAGGCCGTTCAGGTAGCGTACCAACACAAAGGGAGCCCCATCCGAGCCTAGAGTCGAGAACGGTCAGTTTGGCAGGCTCACGGGTTTGAGCGCACCAGGCATCACGTACCAGAATGATTTGACCTACGCCATCCTCAGGTCAGTCATGGCACAACACATGAGGTCATCGCCGGGTGGGTCTTACGTTGTTCATCTTGTGTTTGCGGGTGAATTGGCCGTTCTTGTCTGGGTTGAGAAGAGACGAAGGAGTGCGTAGAGGAAGAAAAGGTCGAGCGACGGCGACGAACGGGGCGAACGATTGTAAAATGTTCAGTCGTTCCGAGCGACATGGATTAATGGGGTGATATCGACGACTTCTCCCATGGTCCAGCCATTCAGATCCCGCCTGAACCGTGCGTGCTTCCCTTGAAGACCCCACCCCACCTCCGGCTCCGGCTGGCTTCGCCTGCTACCCAAGGTGCCTACCTACCTACCTACCTACCTAGGCGGCAGTCATGGTGCGGGACTGGGACTGACATTTAGGCTTAGTACCCTGCCTGGCTGGTGACGGGGCCATTGAAGGGCGAATGCACGCGACGTTGGCGATTTACAGGGGGGTTTCCAGGGTGAGGTGACGCAGTTCTATAGCCGGCTGAGGCCCTGTGGCCGCAGCATCTACCTACCTAGTCTAGGTACCCTTGCTACCTACGAGTACCTCACGCCTGCTACGAAACCAACTCAACAGCCCCGCGCCGGGCGGGGCTTAAGCTGAGGCGCCCTGCACCTTCCTGGCCGCGGGCTTTCTACCAGTGGCTCTTGAGCTCCATCCCAGCCAGGGTCGATGTGCCATCAGGTGGTACCCATGGTACTTACCTACCCATGGTACCTAGGTACTTTTGCCAGGCACACCAAACGGCTTTGCCCAGTTCGGCCCAGCGCTATGTGGGACCCCCAGCCCAGTGACGCTGCCGAGCGGGAAACAGCTTACGACAGGCGAGGCGGCTGTTCAGGCGTCGCCAGGACACGAGACTTTGACAGCAACTGGAACATCCAACACTGCCACAGCCCGCCGATCTCCCTTTCAATGCCGACTGTCCTCAACAGGCAAATGCCCACGCAGACACCAAGCGATACGAAATTACCATCACAGTAGACTCGCACAATCCACAGAACAAACCCGAACATCAGCTTTTTTTTTTTCTCTCTCCCAGGAACAAGCCATGGCCTCCGAGCAGCCTCTGCCCCCCCCGCAGCTTCAACTCTAAACCTAGAGATATCATTATGATCGACCCTCCAGTGCGGCCCTATTCAACCTCATCGACTTTCCAAATACAATCAGTCTCGTCCTCCCAGGCAACATCTCGCCACGGACGTCATTCTGCCGGTGGACTCCATCGCTGCTCTGGTGGCTCACTTCGCGTCCCTTGAGCTCTCAGCGCCAGTGTCCGACCCTGGGTATTATGGGTGTTCTCGATTTGAAACCCCGCTGCCGACCTGACTCCCCCCTTTCGTAGCCACAACATGGCGCCTCCAGAGGAGAACGGGCCTGACGGCTCGTCGCTTGTGAGTCCCAGCTACGTGCTGATGTGCCTGTCCATGCGCTGATAGCATCGCAGAAGCCCGTCTCGTCGCTACGAGCCAAGTTCGAAAACCTGCAGATGGCCCATCCCCCCGAACCAGGCGTCGGCCCCTCGCCCCCTCGAACAGTCTCTCCGGCGCCCAAACCAGAGCGGTTGCGCGAGGTCAAGACAGTGCAAGAGAACATGCATCATGCGCCCGCACCGCGGGCCGCCGCCAAAACCACGAGCCGATCGCGGCAGTGTATCTGCAACACATCTCCCCCTCCCTCACCCTGAGCTTGGCCTCCGCGCCTCCACGCGTTCACTTGGGCCACCGCCTCCGCTGAGTCCAAAGCCAACGACCATGGCCCCGTCCGTCATGATCGAGCCTCCTCATTCTCCCCCGAAACACATGATCGCCAAGTTTGCTCGGGATGATGCGCCAAGTCTCCTGAACCCCGACTATATCGTGACTCCTTCGACTCCGTCCGTACCCTCACGTTCCTTCAAAATACCAAGCCGCACCTCTACGCCCACACTCGAGCCTCGGAAGTCGCCTATGCTCACTGCTTCGCGACCACCATCGCCGCCTCCGCCTAGGAGGTCCGGGGAGATGCGAAGGGAGAAGCCACCACCGCCGATCAGCCGAAACGAGAAGCCCCTAATTCCAGCACAACGGCGAACATCAGTTTTCGCAGATCCGATACGATTGCCAGAACCGAGGCGACAGTCGCAAGAGACCTCTCCGTTTAATAGTCCGCCCAGCAGCCCGGGAAGTCCTGGCGGGGACACACCTCCATTGCCTTCATGGCCAAGACCGCATGTTGCACAGACAGATGTATTACGACCCAGAAAGCTGGATCTAGGGTCGGAGCCGCCTCTCTACACATTCGCTCGTGACTAGCGTCAACCGGACACGATCGGCATGAGACAGATGCCTCTCCATTGATGAACAAATCAGCGCCTTCGACACGCATATCCAAAATCGAGCCACGCTCGACTGCGCCTGACTCCACGACGATGATGCTCACCCCGCAGCGCGGCAGGGCTCCGCTATGATTCTACGCAGAAGCAGCAACGCTCCGAAGCGTATAGTCTCTACGCCAACTACGGGCGTCATTCCGCCCCCAACTCGGGTACCTGGACGATCAAATACTGTTGTTGACAGGTCCCTTGACAGGAGCGCTCCGCCAGACGTGCGTTCTATTCGCACATCTGCTCCTGCACAAGCATCTTCGGCCCTTCCTTCTACCTCCAATCCCGCTGCCCAGCCGCCTATTACAAAAGCAGACGGCGTCAACCAAGGCTCCACGTACCCCGATCCCTCTAACACGAATCGGAGAGCCCCCTCGGTCAAGCAAGGTGTGCACGAGGTACCTACCAAGTATGACACACGTGTGTTCGATGTCTGCGGGGATCTTGTTTGTACTACAGGTCTGCTCACCCGAGTCTGGAGTCTTCGCGACGGCGAGCTCCTCGTAAATCTTGCACACGGCGAAGGCGTCAAAGCTACATCCATCGCGTTCAAACCTGGCTCCAACGTTGACGAAGAAGGGCAACGGTTGTGGATAGGAACAAATATGGGAGAGATCCTGGAAGCCGACATTGCCACACAAACTATCGTAGCCAAAAAGGCTACGGCCCATGCACGACATGAGGTTATCAAAATTTATCGGCATTACAACGAGCTGTGGACACTGGATGAGAGCGGCACGCTTGCTATTTGGGGTCCGGATGAGGATCATACGCCGAATCTCAATGGGAACCCCCACCAGACCTATCGACTTCCTAGGACACACGCGTTCTCCATGGTTGTAGGTGATCTTCTATGGCATGCAACAGGCAAGGAGATCCGGATCTTTGCACCTACTCTCGAGGGCGAGACACAGTTTCAAGTCCTGATTCGGCCACTCGTGCAAGACAGTGCCGGGGAGGTCACTTCCGGGACGCTGATGCGGACACATCCGACAAGAGCTTTCTTCGGGCACGTCGACGGCAAAGTCAGCATCTATAACACCAAGGACTTTTCTTGTCTTGCAGTACTGAGCATCAGCGGGTACAAGATCAACTCGTTGACGGGTGTCGGTGATTACATTTGGGCTGGTTTCAACAACGGCAAGATTTCCGTTTACGATATCAGCCAGACCCCATGGACGATCAAAAAGGAGTGGCAGGCACATGAAAACCCTGTCGTCAAAATCGTTTCTGACCCTTCCAGTTGCTACAGGATGGATCGACTGCAGGTTATTTCCCTCGGGGCCGACAACGTCATCCGCGTATGGGATGGATTGCTACAGGAAGATTGGCAAGAGGACGAGATGAAGGCGCAGGAAGCTCAGTACTGCGACTTTGAAGACATCAAAGCTTTGGTCATGAGTTGGAATGCTGGTGCACCCACTCCTCATAGTCTTCGTTACGCGGACCAAGACGCTACCTTTATCCGCAATCTGCTTCAGTCGAGCGACTCGCCCGATATGTTGATATTCGGTTTCCAAGAACTTGTCGATCTCGAGGACAAGACTGCTACCGCCAGTAAGCAAATTCTGACTTCCTTGAGTCAACCATTATCTGACACAGAGCAGAGCGTTTCTTCAAGTCCAAGAAGAAGGAAGGGTCAGACCAGGAGCGGATGAGCCACCAGTACCGAGACTGGCGCGATTTCCTGATGAAGAGCCTTGACGACCACATGCCTCGGCATGATCTGTATCACTTGCTTCACACAGCCACGCTCGTCGGCCTCTTCACTTGTATTTTTGTGAAATCCTCACTTCGAGATCGGATCCGCAACTTGAGTGCCTCCGAGGTCAAGCGTGGCATGGGAGGCCTACATGGGAACAAGGGCGCCATTGTCGTTCGCTTCCTTGTTGATGATACTTCCATGTGCTTCATCAACTGCCATCTAGCTGCCGGTCAATCGCAGGCGAACAGCCGGCATAATGACATCGCTGCCATCCTGGAGACACCGCTTCTGCCAGCTGAACGGGATCCCAACAAACGCATCGACAGTTACACAGGCGGCGGCGACGGAACCTTGATCCTGGACCACGAATTGTGTGTGTTGAACGGGGATCTCAACTATCGCATCGACACCATGTCACGGGACACGGTTGTAATGGCAGTCAAGCAGAACAACTTG